AATGTTTTTATATCATTGAATTCAAATTTAACTCACCCTTCAAAATGACCCCCTAGACCAGTGTTTCTTAACCTGTGTTCCGCGGAATCCTAGRCCYTAGAGTTCCGTGAAGATCACTTACGGGTTCCGCGAAAGTTTAAAATCGTAAGAGAGACCGCCGACGGCCGGTAYTCTAAAGATGATTTTCAAAAGAGCTCCGCATGAAAAAAATATTATTATTTGGTATTTCGTGATATCAAAAAGGTTGAGAAACACTGCCCTAGACCCCTAATGTATAGTAGAAGTGTCAGAGCGTTAATCACTTGTCCGTTTTATTTAATWAAGAAGTTAAAATTAAGATCATCATCGTAACTACTAACTATAAATACTATATACGGGCTTTGGATGTATAGCATTTTTTTTTGTGGTTATGAAATTTTGACTAAATTTTATATTCAAAAATCATTCTCAATAAAGTTCTTCAATTAATATCACCTAGCTGGGATTTCAATCGGAATATAAATTTTCATTATATTTATATTACATAATAGACAATAGTAAACCCGCTCTGATATACAACACAATGTCTTCTAGTTTCTATTATTTGACAGTTTTATTTTTAATTACAATTGTTCAATTATTGAGAAAGTTGGTACAAATATTTGCTAATTACTTTCATTTCCAATTCATCTGAATAAAAGTCATTACTTGCATAATCTTACGCGAAAAAAAAGCAAAAAGTTTTCTGCATCAGCCGGGAATCGAACCCGGGCCGCCCGCGTGGCAGGCGAGCATTCTACCACTGAACCACTGATGCTTGTTGKCTYATGTTATAAAATTATATGTATTTATTATAAATCAAGAACTAACTCWATACAATATTTTGTGTTTAATTATAAGGTTGAATTTTGATTGCCTTGTAACAATGTAACCTGAAGATTAATCAACATTTTCTCTTGTAGGCCAATCATGTGTGCATGAAAGAATCAATATCTTACAATCATGATATTCCCTCATTGTAAGTAGCTACTCATTTGCATATTTAACTTTTTCTATACTTAACTAAATCATAATTGAGTAGGTACCTATAAGACATWTTTCAAAACAACAATTTGTATTATTACAATTATATCCATCACTAACAATTTTTATAAAAAGGATTCTCTTCAAAAAATAAATTATAAAACTAAACAATTATTGTAGGTATCCAATATAGGCATTATTTTAATTTTTAAACATATATTTTAGTGTATTATTTAAATGTTATGTTTGTTAAAATTTTAACATTTTTTTTCAATTTTAAATTCTAACTCAATTTAATATACTCTTACAAATKTAATTATAGACTATCTGATATACTAGTACTTACATTAAAGTTTGGTTGAATGTCCAATCACTATTTTTATATATTAATAATAATTTATTGATTCAATAATGAGAAATGGTTCCTGTACATGATTTAAACATTTGCGATCAAATGATTTTGTCATGGGGTATATAACTGATTTTTCATCATTCTCTATTTGATGATTAAAAATATAATTTATGCTTATTAGATCTTAAATATTAAAAAAATTCATGGTGTGGTATCTATCCCCAATTTGATCGCCACTGTTAGTGTCCAATGGTTGAATCATTTAATTAATTAATTTTTTATGAAGGCCGACATAAGAATTAAATATTAATTGTAATGTGCTAATCACATACTAATGAAGTATGAAAAAAGTTAAATATAATAACATTATTATATGTTTTTTTTTTTTTAATTTTTGATAGTGGTTCACATCGTCCTGCTTGGGCCAAATATGGTGAATATAAATTTTTACCAAAACAAAGATGGTTACACAATTTAGAGGTATGTATCATATCAATTGCTACTAGCTCTATTTTAATTATTCTACGTATTGCATAATATGATATATGTTTTTATTTTATTTTTTCAGCATGGATCCGTAGTAATGTTATACCATCCATGCACTCATCCAGTTTTAGTCCAACGTATGCGAACAGTATTAAAGTCATGTCTTTTCAGACATATTATTACTCCGTATAATTTGGTTCCTGAAGATAGGGTTTGTATGATACATACAGTATGTGCAAAGTCAGACTAAACAGAGGACTAGGGGAGTTAGGGTGATATATCATTAAGCCAGTAAAAATAATAAGATTATAAGCTGGACCATTATTTGACTAAAGATTGAGCTAGTCACTTCTAATTAAGTTTTTGATTGGTACAAACTAAAAAATTGAATATTGGTATAGGTAATAGATTACTAATGAATGGTATTTCGAACATCCTTAAAATCAAAAATAATTAGATTCAAACAAATTAATATTTTTTTTGTTTTTATTCATTTATTATATTCATAAAATGTTTCAGCATACATGATGCTATTACAAGTGATTATTTTTAAACAATGGATTCAAAATTAATATTGAAATACCTATATTTTAAATAGTCTGTAAATTATTATTTAATTTTATAAAATCATAACTTTGCCATAGTGACATAGTGTATATATTTTTCTYAAATTACAAATATTTTACTACAAAAATAATTATTTTTTTACTATAATAGATTGGAAAATTGAATATATTGTAAACTGTTCTCAAATATATTCTATATATAATTATGGGCTATATGGTTAATACTTTAAAGATAT